CATCCAATAACAGGAATAACAGGAATTTCAAGTTCCAAATGGCTATAGATAGCTCCTATACTAAATACTAGTTCCTTTACAACGGACAAACAATCCAGAGTCACCATCCATAATCCTCGTCCTAAAATGGTCTGCAAGGTCGTCATATGGAATTTCTTGTAGGTGATGAAGCGATTCAGGTTTCTGAGGTCCACAATGGGATGGAGGCCTCCATCCTTGTTGGGGACCGTGAAATAACAGGAACAGAAACCTATGTGATTTTGGGATACGGGAACTGGCTCTATGGCATCCTTTTGAAGGAGATTCTGGATCTCTTCTAGAAGTGTGTGTGATGGAGGAGTGACTACGAAGTTGGCAACTACAGGGACCTGCAAAAACTCTATAAGGTATCCCTCCCTGATGACCAAAAGGACCCACTGATCTGACATTATTTGTTGCCAGGCAGACAGATAAGGAAACAGGTGGGTGGGAGGCACGAATAGAGGGCTGAAGTCAAAGGCCCTGCTTGGGAGTCTTTGGGGCCTTCACCGTAGACTGTGTAGCCAGTGTAAACTTGGATTTGTTTCCATAGCATGAAGAACTGCTTGGTGATCTTCGCCACTGCATCTTGGGCAAGGATTTTAGCGAAGATCTGTGAGACCACTGCTTATTCCAGGGTTTCCCTTTGCTGTGCTTAGGGGCTAACGTGACCCCTAAGTTGCGAGATGTCTTGATGCTCTTGTCAAGATCTTCCAAGACAGTGTCAGTTGTAGAACTAAAGAGGCCGTCACCCTCGAAGGGAAGGTCCTCGACCACGGTCTTGGTGCCCCGCTGCAGAGCCATGGAGCATAGCCAAGCATGGCACCAGTGGGCAACTGCCAAGGTGAAGGTTTTGGCTGCTATAGCCAGCGTGTGCTTGGCAGCGTTGAGTTGATGCTTCGCCAAGAGCATGCCCTCTTTCTGAATTCGCCTGGCTTGGCAACTGAAGTCTTCGGGCAGAGCTACAATGAACTCAGACAGCTGTTCCCAGAGAGCATATTGATATCTCCCCATACAGGCTGCATAGTTTGAAGTTTTGATGCCCAATTCTCCTGCAGAATAGAATTTCCTTCCAAAGAAGTCTAATTTTCTTTCCTCCTTGTCAGAGCGATCAGAGTGGCTATGCTTGCCCTTGGAAGAGGAGGTGACAACCACCAAGTTTGGTTTAGGATGAATGTACAGAAATTCAGTGCCACCTTCTTGCACTTTATACATATGATCCATCCACCGGCTAGAGATGGGGATGTAAGCCGGATGAGACCAAGTGTCAGGGTTCCCAGTCAATCACGCTCAACACCAGGTCTTCAGAGATACCAGTTTATTGAGGGAGAATGACCATTGGTACTCACCGTGAGTGGTCCTTCTCCTCTGAGTGTTGGAGGACATCCTGTGTGGGGTGATTCCCATCCATCTTCAAGGGAGGCAGGAACTTACTAAGAACTTCCTGTTTCCTGTGGTGGGAGTCACCCCTACTCCAGTTCGTTCATGGTGTTTATTCTTTTCACAGAAGGATGTCAACAGACAGTCATTGAAGAAGGACGAACTTCCCCAGAGCTAATCGTTCGTTTCGAACTCTCTTTATCAAACAACGGTCTCCTATTAAAGATAAACGACGCTCAATGCTAGGGGAACCATCCAGCCAGATGGTAAGGTCTTGTGATGTTTGGATTCAGAACTGTATGTATTCCTTTTTAAATATCGTTAAACATTGTTTATTAACATGATGTTGTGGCTGGAACACGTCCACGTCTAGGTGACCCCATTTATGAAACATTGGCTGAAGGTATGTCCAACTGAGTTCCCACTCATGCTATGACACACCACCTCTGCTCAAGAAGTCCGCTTGCACATTTAAGGACCCGGGCAGACGGGCGGCTATCAGGAAGGTGCCCCACGACCGGCACTCGTCCCAGATCTCCAGGGCCAGCCGACCAAGTCCTGTGGATACTGTCCCCCTGATGGCTGATATAACATAGTGCCGTGGTGTTGTTGGTGAGTATTGCTATCACTTGTTGAGCCACTATGTGATGGAAAGACCTGAGCACATATTAGATGGCTAACAGCTCCAAGAAATGGATGTGGTGGTGAGCCACATGAGGTTCCCATCGATCCCCTATGCAAATCCCTCTGAGATGAGCTCCCCAACCCCAGAGGGACGCATCTGTGGTGAGTGTCATTGCCGGGGATGGAGGATGGAACGGGGTTCCCGCTAGGAGATTCTATGGACTCTCCCACCATAGTAGTGAAGCCAACACAGATGACGGGAGGATGAACCTTTGAGATTGAGGCTGCTGCTACAAATGAAACCTCAATACGAATCACAGCAGAAGGGGTCATATCTGAAGCCTGGCAAAAACAATCACCACGGTAGTGGCGGCCATTAGTCCCAGTAAATGTTAGATCTGCCTTGTGGAGGCATCCCCTTGCCGCCATAGGAGAGCAATGAGGGTGACGATGTCTTCCGCTCTTTTGGGAAAGAGAAACACCCTACAGTCCTTCAAGTCCAGAATCGCTCCGATAAACTGGACTCGTGTTGAAGGGAGGAGCATAGATTTTTTTTGAGATTTACCCTTAGTCCCAAGGTTTCTAGGGTGTCCAGAGTCAGGTTGATGTGGCTGCGGGGCCCCAGGAAATACTAGCTGCGAAGGAGATCCCCTGACACCCCCAGGCCAATGAGCAAGCACAATTAAGCGTGGGCTACTGCAGAACCGTTAGGTTCCCAGCAGGAAGCTCAGGGAAGAAGCGCCTCTAGCTCCAAGGCCACCTACAAGATAAGCACTAGACTAGAGAATGCGTGGGGGAGGGGATCAAGAACAATCCGTAGCCCAACACCCCAACCCATGGCAGCATCAGCTGACACCAAGGAGCTTTGGCCATTTCAAAGAGAACCAAAGTCATGGGTAAAGCGACAGCTGTCGAATTCTCCATCTGGACAATCTCAAATACCGAATCTGTAACAGCAGGTGGTGGTTGGACAGTTGATAAGGCTAGCGTATTAGCCATTCGTTTGACCCCATAAAACTTAACGTTCTCAGAGAGGGATATTGGGAGGTCATCTCCTACTTGTTGCGGTGGAGAGGGTTCCACTGGAAGAAGCGGGTTGTCGTCTCCAGAATGTAAGGAATTGGAAGAGCCAGAATGATCAGAAGGCTCCAAGAACAACATCTGGAGAATCAGCGCCGAAGGCATCAGTTCCAATAGCTCTTTAAACTGCGTCGGTACTGATGGTGGAGGTTTATGACTCTTGGCTATCGGCTGCGATGGCTGTGGTCTGACGAACTCCGGTGTCCAGGGAGGGTCTCGATACTGGGAGAGTTGGGAGGAGGTAAACTGGCGATCCCACTCCATCAGTAGACGCAGGGGGAGCCACAGCATGCCGCTGGGAAAAGGGTAAGCCCCGTACAAATACTGCCACTGGCATTGGTCCCAGGAAGGTGGAGGGGGGTGGAACGGTCCCGTTGGTCGATCCCGATTGTCAGGTCCATGCGAGGAAGGATGCACGATAGTGCCCGCTCCGCTGTCCAAATGCAGGCTTCTCCACACTAGGGGAGCAGGAGACTTGCGTTAAGTCCATGTCCTGCTCAGAGTCTGTGAGCTGGATAGGACGCAGCAGTGAAGGAGGTGCACCTTGTGGCTGCCGACGGCCAGATGAGTCAAGCGAAGTGGCTTCAGTGGGAATCGCTCCTGCGGCCTGGCAAGGGGTCGATGGCATCTTAGCAGGGGAGCCTTTCTTATGCTTCTTGTGCTTGATAAGCCGGTTGTCCTTGCCCTCCCTATGCTTCTTAGAGGGAATGTGGGCGTCGGACTGGGATGCTGGCACCAAGCGTTTCAGCACCAGTCGGTCGGTGTCGGAATGGGCCAGTGTCAGAGACAACGCAGCTGTCGACCCCGAAGCAGGAGTCGACATCGAAGCATGCCCCGAGGTGTCTTGCGATGACGCCATCGGTGAAAGAGCTAACTCCAGCAGAGCTACGCGGAGCCTAGCTGCCTGATTCTTTCTTGGTTGTTCTGAGAATTTGGCGGGATCGTCATGCCCCTCCCCTAGTCATGCGCACTGGAGCCCGGCACGTGACTGGGGAGGGGGCGTGAAAATCCCTTTTGCTTTCCATGATACCGATCGGGGTGGCGCAGGTGCACTATATCACAGAGGTGTGATGCACAGAGACCACAAAGAAGATTACTCCACTCCATGATACAGTAGTGTCCAGTTATGGATGCTGAAAGTTTAAGAAGGATGTCAACAAACTGGAACAGGTTGAGGGGTTGGCAAAAGAAGTGGTTGGGAGCTGGGGGGGGAATTCTACAGGGAAAGGCTGAAGGAATCATGTATGTTTACACCGAAGAAGAGAAGAATGAGGGAAGACATTATAGTGCTCTTCGAATACCTGAAGGGTTGTCACATGTATGGGAGAAAAGACTTGTTTTCTGCTGCTTCACAAGGGAAGACTAGTTCTAATGGGCTTAAATTAGAAGAAGGTAGATTTTAGTTGAATACTTGTAGAAACCTTCTAACAAAAATAATAGCTTGACAAATGGACCAATGAGTAGGGAGAGGGGCTCTAACTTGCTGGAGATCTTCAAATAGAGGCATGGCAGCCATGTCTCAGTTTTGGATTCCTAGTACTACTCAGGGTGTTAGACCAGATGGCATCTTCTAGCTCAATAGTTGCCTTTTTGTTCCCAAATCAACCCATCACATAATTGAGAAAGCTACCTTTGGGGTCTAAAGCCCTTTCACCTCTAAAAAGATTTTTTTTGCATTCTGCCTCCAGATAAGGACCACATTAGTAATATTGGGGTGTCAACGTATATTATAGGAGGAATGTTTATATCATGGCAAATGGGGAGCAAAGGAAGCTATTGTCCACTGCCACAACACCCTGTAGAGCTTCTTAAGAGAAAGGTACTACTGTGAGTACATCTGACCAGATGGCCAGTCGGCAAAATTTAACTGTATGCATTAAGCAATTATAAAGGATGATTGCTCAAAATGGGTGCAACTAAGATTCAGAAATTTCAGATATGAACTCAGACTACAACTGATGTTCAGTGGATTAGCTAGTTTTATATCTGATACTTCCAAATCATAGACTGTATTTTTTATGAATTTGTTTGTTCACAACAGCTTTTTGCTATACCATACACATCTAGTTATGAATTTGTTTGTTCACAATTATCATGTATTGTAAAACAGCTTTTTGCTATACCATACACATCTATCATAATTATCTAATTAAAGACAATCCACAGACATATGTTGGTGATTACTGAAGATGGCAAGCCAATTCAATCCTTCCATAAATCTTATATAACTAGGATAAATACAGTTCTGTCATGGGACTAAAAAGTAATGCATTATAAAGAAATACAGACAGATACATTACTGGATGGCAGGAGGAAAGGAGATAGGAAAATCGCAGTCACTCTAGAGTTAGTGTGAGCACAGTGGCATGAGATGATGTGAGGCAAGAAGCCTCCATTTCAAATTTCTTCTCAGCTACAAGCTCACTGTATGGCCTTCTGCCTCAGTGCCATCTCTTACTCTCTTACTCTTACTCTTATATTACTGGGATAATAATGGATCACAGTGCAAAGCTAGTGTAAGAATGACTGGCATTGTGGATGTGAAAGGCTTTTGCACTTCAGAAAAGTGCAGTGTTAACATTAGATCATTAAATGAGGGATACAATTATAAGGAAATGCGTAAGATTGTGTGCATATTACCTCCAGAATATTTTGATACATGCTTGAAAAGAATACTTATTAAAAGAACTTGGCAACCACTGCTCTGCTCTTAGTAAGCTCACGCAATCACCTCCAGCATTACAAAGTGCAGTGTTAACGTTAGATAATTAAATGAGGGATACAATTATAAGGAAATGCATAAGATTGTGTGCATATTACCTCCAGAATATTTTGATACATGCTTGAAAATAATACTTATTAAAAGAACTTGGCAACCACTGCTCTGCTCTTAGTAAGCTCACAATCATTTCTAAAAGACACTGTTCATACATGATGTTCATCACCGCTATGCTAGTTTTCATTTTTTTTCCTAGAGGGCCCAGTGAGGGATTTCATATTACTAATGCAGTAACACTACTGAAGTTAAGCTAGGGAAGAGATGATCAAAACAGTTTCAATCAGAACCTTATTTTGATACTACCAGATCCTGCTAATCCCTCCCCACTCCCAGCTGAGCAGTCACATGTACCTTGCAAGACACAGTCAATATGAATACATATAATGCTTGCTTGCTGATTACAAAAAATACTTACTTTATTCCACTTAGTAGTCAGGGTCTTCAGTCTATCAGAAATACAATCTTTTTCTTGAGGACTAATGTTTTGATTCGAAAGGACCTCTTGTTCATTTCTGTTTAGCCACTGAAACTTTTCACCTTGCATGTCCATCTCTTCAATCAAACTCTATGGAAATTAAGAAGGTACCTTAGGTCTAAAGGTAGCTAACTGTCTTCTGAATTTATATTAAGGACAGAGTGTATGCTGAGACTCCACAAAAGCAAAACGAGTCACAGGAAAAAGTACTAACCCATAATTTATCTCAGGAGCTCATTTGTTTAAAACAAATTCCTAGTTTGTACAGTTGTAAATATGGAATTATGCAGTAATCCGTGACAAGATTATCAGTAATCGTAAGAATTTCTAAGCATATGATTCTGCTAATTATGAGCAAGAACAATAAATTTGTAACATGCAGGAATTATGCAATAATCCCTGACAAGATTATCAGTAATTTCTAAGCATATCATTCTGCTAATTATGAGCAAGAACAATAAATTTGTAACATGCATGTAAGTAACAGAATTCAACTACTGTTGCAACATTCAAGTGAACTTGATGCAAAATTCTGATATTGCCACTGTTACATGTATGTTTGACAAAGGTTGTTTTTAAGGATATATTCTCCCATCACAGGACAAATACTGACAAAACACTACTCTGTCACTAGTTAAGAACTTAACATACTCATCACATGGATGGTTTTAGATAGGATAGCCAGAAGTTAATCAAGTATTAAACTGGTTACCACAATTTACTATGAAGTAGCAGTTTGGGTATCAAAAGGTCCTCGCAGTCTTTTATATTAGACAACAAAACTAACGAAACGTTAATCAAACTTAGCTTTGTGTTCAATGGCAGTCACTAACTGCTATCCACTAGTATACCACAGACTCTGAATTCAACACTGGTATTTTGTTGTTCAGTCGCACAGTCGAGTCCGACTCTTCGCAACCCCTCACTAACTGCTATCCAGTAGTATACCACAGACTCTGAATTCAACACCGGTATACAGTCCAATAAAAAGTAACAATGAGCTATCAATCCAAACTTGAAACAAGCCTTTTTAAAAATTAAACTTGCCATTAATTGCTGCAGCTTTTCCTCATGGCTAACTGTAGGTTTCTCATCTTGAGCACTTTCAATATTTTCTACCCAGCAACTAAGCTCTTCTAGTTTTCTTGTATAGTCGATCAATTGTTGATTGTCTCCTTTCAGTCTGAATGACAAATCCCAAAATGGAAAAAAGAATAAAACCACCATTAGTGAAACAAAATATGAAAGTAGTAGACTATACGTCACCTAAAACTCACTAATATACATCTATATATAGATACACTATGTATACACATATAAACCACATATTAGACTATTAAAAGCAGTTCAGGTATATAAAAAAGGAGAAACCACTTAATATTTGCATATTCTTTCCCTCATCATCAAAGTGAAAAAACCCTGCCTAAAAATTCTTAGCAGTCCTTCAGGGTTATAGATTTCAGCAGTATTTCCTTTTCACATGTAGACATTCAAAGAATGTGCACATAGTTCACCTCAAGAGTGCACCTTGCCTTTCAGCTTACTGAGTACATTTCCAAGCAGTATTTTATAATGATTTTGATACGGTCTATGAACAGCCAAATGAGGGGAAAAGAACACACATCTATAAAACTAGCCTTCCATTTTATTTTTATGAAAGAAAGGACACGTTTAAAACATCAGTGTAAGGGTCAAAAAAAAAAAACTTAAGAATCACTCAGGATAGTGTACAAAACTTACTTATCAAGGATGGAAGGCAATTCTAAACCATCAGTACACACAGTACATTTATACAAATGAACAAACACATTATTAAAGCCCAGGAAAAATATGGAACAAGTGTATGTGTTTGTTACATATAATGCAAGTCAGAATGGCACAAAAGTAGTCTTGGGAAACATTACAGAATCAGAGCATGAAACTTTGGGAAATTCAGCCTAATTGAAGTGTGCAACGCTATTTGGAGCCTCTAAAATAAAAATTCTCATGAGACACCCAAAATCCTGATTGACCGAATTACCTCTGCTGTCTTTTCATGACCTCAGCAGTAACTGCTTCCCAGCGTTTCTTTAATCCTGCTAGCTTCTCTTTCAGGAAGCTTCCATCTGAAGTGGAAAGTTTCTGTATGATTCCTTCCCCTGTTCTGTTTAATGTCGAAAAGCTGGTCTGATGGCTGCTGACCCCCTCTTCAAGTTCCTGTCACAAATATGAAAAACGAACTGAACTTTGTTTCCTACTCAGCTTGATGCTAATATGGAGCTTGAAGCATTGAACAAGTACCCAGTGTGTTATAAAAAGAAAGAAGGAAATATCATTGTGTTTCAGTGAATGATCTGAGCTCTTTTTTTTTTAAGAGAAAAGGAACAAGGATCGCCCTGGAAAGTACTCCCTTCCACCTTTCTCCTGGAAAGGCTCACCGTGACCAGGAGAAAGGGGGCAGAATCACCTGGAAGGGACTCCCTTCCACCTTTCTCCTGGCATGGCTCGCTGCAGCCTGGAGAAAGGGGGCGGGGATTACCTTGGAAGGGACTTCCCTCCACCTTTTTCCCAGCCATGACTCGCCCTGGCCAGGAAAAAAGAAGCGGGATCACCCTGGAAGGGACTTCCTTCCACTTCTCTCTTGGCTGAGGCTCACCCTGGCCAGAAGAAAGGGAGATGGAATTGGTGGAACTTCCTGGATGTCACCATTAGAAGGGTGGGAAATATAATTCAGACTAGCACATACAGAAAACCTACGGATTCAAATTCCTTTTTATCTAGTGACAATTTCCACCCCCCACATCTGAAAAAGAACTTACCGTATTCTCTGTTGAGGCTCAGGAGAAATTGTAGCCAGTATTCTGATTTTGTTGAGCAGGCTAATATATTGATGGGCCTGTTTAGAGACAGAGGCTACTCCTCTAGAGTTGTAAAGCAGGCTTTTTATAAAGCAAAAAATACCAACAGAACCTCACTTTTAGTACCAAAGATAAAACAAGGTCAGTCTAATAAGAGAATCATTATTCCTTTAACGTATGATGGAAGGTCTACTCAGGTCAGCAATATCATTAGGCAGCACTGGCATCTACTATCTAATATTCCTTCATGTGAGTCTGCTTCTCTCTTTGCGTATCACAGATCTAGGAATTTGAACAATCTGTTGGTAAGAAGTAGCCTGCAATCATCTCCAGCATTACAAAGGGGAGTAGATGGTCAAGGTTTGCCAGCTGGCAACTTTCCCTGTGGAAGGTGTGAGGTCTGTGAGTTGATGCTACGCACTAATTGCTGTTATGACTTAGATAAAAAGAGACAGTACTCTATTAGATCATTCTTTAACTGTAATTCAAAGGGCCTAATTTATTGCATAATCTGTAAATGTAAAAAAAAATATGTTGGGTACACTTCAAGGCCTTTACGGACCAGAATTACTGAACACAGAAGTTATATCAGGAGGAGGAGGAAGAATGCCCCCCTTACGGAGCATTTTGTGACAGCAGGGCATAACGATAAGGATTTCTCTTTCTTTGCTCTCGAGTATGTTCGGCCTTGTGGCCACCTGCAGATGAATCAACAATTGAAAAAAAGAGAACTGTTCTGGATCCATGCCCTTAAGACTGTAACCCCATATGGCTTGAGTGAGCATATTGATTGATGTGCAATATAATCTCGATAGTATAGCATGTATATATCTATATAAGTTTTTGAATGTTCTAAAGTTTGAAATCCATACTGTTTCTTTATTTTTTAATGGTATACTCTATGTGGAAGGTGCAATCACATGACCATCTTCAGACACTCTAGGCATTGCATCATCTTACAAATTAGGAACACATTAGGATTACATCATCCTTAACCAGTTATAAAGCTCCAGCATTTTTAGTTGACCAACACTGCTTTTTACTTGAGAACACTGTGGCAACACAATCAAAGAAGGCAATTCTTGGACCAAAAGTAACTAATTTTATTTTTTATTACTTTCCACATTTAGGTTTTAAATTGTATGATATATTGATTTTCATTTTTTTGTCTTTAGGTTTATACTTTAGAACCACTGGGCAAGTGATTGCACTTTTAAAGATCTCATTTACATATTTATTGTGTGCCTGGTGGTTTTATTCTGAAAGTAAGTTTATGGTATATATTTACTAATTGGTAATATAGATTTACAGTTCATTAACCTGTGGTAAAAAATATGTGTTTAATTTCCTATTTTTTATCTTTTACAGCAACTTGTTTTCTGGTCCATATTGAATTTATATTTTGTATCCATTCTGATTGTGTCTACATGAGCGTATTATATTTATATAGCCATCTTGCCACTCAATTGTTTGACCTCTGAAGAAGGCCTATGCAGGCCGAAACACGTTAGGTCATGTTTTTAAGCCCGTATGTATTGCCATGTTATTTATATATTTGATGTGAATGGGCCCTTATATATGTTTTAAAATCTGTAATTAATAAATACATGTATCTTTTTCTACATTTAGTTTTTAATATTGGCCCTCTTTTTCACATTTTACTAACCTTTGTTAGGTTCTGAATAACCAGATGGTCTGCCATGAGAAGGGAAAATCAGGGGAAATAGCTCTCTGTCCCACTGACAGAAACTGACCTCGGCCTTGACTCTAATCTACAGTATTTTTAAATAATTAAGTAAAACAGATTAACAAGAAGATAAACAAAAATAAGTTAAGACTTCAAGGCTATTTAGTTACCAACTATAAACCAACTAAAATTAAGCAGTTTTGATTTCAGTAGGAACATTGGAAACCTGCACTTAAATTCTTGTAGATGTAAAGCACAATCCAACCCAAATCAAGACTTGGGCAAGGTTATATCTTTATATCTACAAGAGATTAAAACATTTAAAGGGAATATTAACATTGTGAAAACAAAGCAGACATGCAATAAAAATCCAGGTAACTGGAAGTTTCATTCGGTATCTTAAAATCACCTTCATAACTTCTGAACACACCATAACATTATCTTCTAAAGTATATTCTAGTTATAGAAGGAAATGCTATTTCCTTTTATTTATTGATTAAATGAAAAGATAACATTATTATTCACTTTTTTAAACCAAGTGTTTGCTCAGTGGTTGAGCCCAAATTATGGGATCCCAAACAGACTAACATATGCCTGGTTTGTACACACCTGCTGGTGCATTCTTGCCATCTCTATATCCATGCTAAAATCTGGAGTATGGGCCTCAGCCAACAGCCCTTCAGCTTCTGCTAACCACTGTGAGAGATCATTGAGATCACAATGGAACCGTCTCCACTCTTCCACAGACTTATCAAAGGAGCTGCATGAAACAGGACCAGGAGAGCAAAGACAACATTATTTCTTATGTGTATTTTGGGCACCATTGAAATATAGAAACACCTACCATACGTCACATCTACTGTTTTTGTAGAGCACTTTATATTATAAGGACAAATGTAGCATTAAACTAAGATAATAAAATATAAAATTTTCATTATTAATTGCAATGAAATATAGATCAATCCAGTGTATTAGATTCAGCTTTAAAAAACACTTACTGACACATGAAAAAGTAAAATAAAAAAACGACTAATGGATTTTAAAAGACAGGGGCTCCAACTATTCAATCTACATACCTCTATTTTACAGTATTTTTTCCAGGCCCAAGCTCAGTTAGTAAACTTCACAACAGAGGGCCAATCTTCCCAGTCCTAGTCTAATGCTCTACTGATCACACCACACTGCTTCCAATGAGCTAATCTGCCTTCTTACCCCTTAAAAAGAAAACTAGCAGACATGCATAACAAACTACAGTTGCTCCTTGCTTCCTTTACTACCTCTAAGCAGACTCTATAAATGTTATCCTGAGCTCCCTTGGATCACCTGGCTGTTGGCAAACCACCACAGTTTGGTGTAGTGGTTAAGTGCGCAGACTCTAATCTGGGAGAACTTCTCTCAATGCTCTACTATTAGCAGAATGGAAAATTTAGATTCAACCCAATATATTTAAAGATAGCAATAAAGCATTTGCACAGTTGCTTAGTAGAGCATAATTGATTCAAATAACCAGGATGTGGATCTGATTAATTTAGTCATGATTTAAATTTAATCCACATCAAAGTCAATATTAATAGTGGCAAACATTATTATTGAAAAAGCAGCTATGCTTGTTTACTATTAATGATATTAGCTTTACAGAAAAGATTAATTCCCCATAATAGAAGAAATGTTGACAAATATGATACACAGATTGATTCACCGTTTCTTTGAATCATACAGAATAAAAACCTGGAATTGTATTTGCAAGCATAATGGCCAAAATGGATCTCATGCTCACATGTTCCCATCCTCCCTCATACAAATTCATTCTAGTTCAGGTACATCATACTTTGTCTCAATCACGAATGGAATTCATTTCAAAACAGGTCTTTTAATTCTGGTATGGGAGAAAATATAACGTTGGCAAACTACAGTTTTCCTTATTCTGAAATTGTGGCAAACCATTATTTGTTCAAACCAGGAAGTGCAGAACAGGATCAGAGCATGCAGGGGAGGCAGCACTTGATACAAAGCTTACTTATGAGACTTTTAAAGTGGTCTGGATGTTAGATATCAGCTGGGCCATAACATTAAAAGAGTTTTCAAATTTCCAAGTCCATGTAACCTTTTAAAATATTGATACAATTCAAGAAATTCATGGATCTGCCAGAAAGTCAAACTGTTGTGCTTCAGTAATTAACTGTGAATTTTTAATTTCTCTTTTTAAGCTAGAAGTCTGGTTTCACTACTTATTACGTGATTGAAAATACCAGTTTCCAAAAGAATACCAGGGCTTATCCATTTGGTCAGTCAGCTTTACGGATTCACATAGAAAACAACAGTTGCTTTTCCTAACCTTCACTATAGATTAACATTTCAATAGTACTTTGTATCTATTATCATCTCTTTGAGATATTTCTCTATTGGAAGATTCTCTACACTTCCTCCAGGACATAACTTGATTTCAACATTGGTTCAGTAGTGTTATAGCTGTTATTGATAACGAAGACCAGCTGCAATGAGCTGGTCTTAAACATCTGACTGTTCAATACAGAAAAAATAAGCTCACTCACCTCCACCATTCCAGGCATACCTTGATTCTCCTCATAGAAGACACCACAGACAGCAGTTTTTCTTGACAGAGAGAGGGGGGAGAGAATAGCACAGAATACATGAAGTCCTATTACTCACCATTTGCGATCATTATACATTCTGTTAATTCTGTCCCATTCTGCATTCAGCTGGGTAAGTGAATCCCCTATTTGAACAGCTTCAGATCCAGTTGCCTCTAGTATAACATCAGGTTGCTTTTCATGAATAACTGCAATCTGATCCCCAAGTTTGTCCAATATGTCTTTTACATTCTGTAAAACAAAACAAAAGCCACTTAGAGAAGAAGGGAGCAACAGCACCCTCTCCAAAATTACTGCAATTGGGGAAATGGAAGCCTTTGTTTAGGACAGCAAAACACGGCAAAATCGTACCTACAAAATGCTTGTAAGAAACCTGTATTAAACAAAAACAATTATACCCATTACGTTTTGTAATAACTTTGTACCAGGGACAAACAAAATTATTTCCTTCTGAATGTGTATGGCTGTGTACTTTTCATCCTTTCAAGAGAGAACTGCCCTGTAATAAGCTCAGGACTGTAGTAATAAACTCACTCTTTCTCCCTGGCTTCATCCACACAATTTTTTAATAAATACACATCATGTTTCATGTTAAAACAGACTCTCCTCCTTCAGACACTAAATGCAGTGTTTGAATAGAGAAATATTGCTTTGATTTCATCACCCTTTGGAGATGCAACCACCAGATTCAAGTAAATCTGCAAGGGCAACCACCTGATTCAAGCATATACAGTACTACCGCACATACAGGTTGACTACAGATGATTCAGTCTAAACAGGGACAGTGTGTGTACCATACACTTTCAAGTTTCTTCGACTTATTGCAACCCTGTGAATTAAGGACCTCCAAAACATCCTATCATTAACAGCCTTGCTCATGTCTAGCAACCTGTGGCTTTACTCATGTTGGGTCTTTATCTTTACCCTACTGCCTTACAATGATTTAAACAGAGTCATATCGTTCCTCCATCTAGTTCAATATTGCATCCTCTGATCGGCAGCAGTGTATCATAGTTTCAGGTGGAGAGAGATTCCCCACCCCACTACACAAGACCAGGGATGGGCATGAACCTAAAGAAAGCAGTTCTGCTCATTTTGGGGTTCGGGGCAGCCTTCAAACCAAACCGAGCCAAATGGGCCCCACCTGATCCAAACCAGTCCAAGAAGTTCAGTTCCCCATTTCTCCCAGCCATGGCGAGTCACAGCCAGGAGAAAAGGAACAAGGATCGCCCTGGAAAGTACTCCCTTCCACCTTTCTCCAAGGCTCACTGTGGCCAGGAGAAAGGGGGCAGGATCACCCAGAAGGGACTCCCTTCCACCTTTCTCCTGGCATGGCTCCCTCCAACTTTTTCCCAGCCACGACTTGCCCTGGCCAGGAAAAAAGAAGCAGGATCACCCTGGATGGGACTTCCTTCCACTTCTCTCTCGACTGAGGCTCACCCTGGCCAGAAGAAAGAGAGATGGAATTGGTGGAACCTCAAGGAACACTACGGGCTGACCAGCTGACAAATTTTCCCGTTTTGGGCTCACCAGCTGTTAAACAAAACCCCAGTGAAATGGGAAAATTTGACAGCTGGAAAGCCCATAAGAGGATATAGACAGGTTGCTTACCTGTAACTGGTGATCTTCGAGTGGTCATCTGTGCATTCACACCCTTGGGATACTCTGCGCCTGCGCTGACCTTCTCGGTACCGATAGCTAGCAAAAGGGATTTTCGCGCCTCTCCCAGGTCACGCCCCGGCTCCACTGCGCATGACCAAGGAGGGGCACGCAGATCCCGCCAGTTCCTTCTGACCGCCGCCCAACAGCCTTCAAAGAAACAAGATGAAGGGCCGAGAGCAGAGGGGAAGGAGGGCGGGTGGTGTGAATGCACAGATGACCACAGCTCACCAGCTGACAAATTTTCCCATTTGGGGCTCAATAAATAAATAAATAAAACCCCAGTGAAATAGGAAAATTTGACAGCTGGAAAGCCCATAAGAGGATATCTTACAGTGACTGGCTTCTTTTGGGATACTGGATCTTCAGTGAAAGTATCACACAGCCTTAGGGCAATGTTAGAGACTGTATTAGTGTTTTCAGCATCCCAATTTGAATTTGGTGTAGTGTTCCTTGAGGTTCCTGTCTTTTGTATCTCTTTGTAAAATTTTCTACGCAAGATTCTCTCATTGTATGCATCATTAAGAATAACATATCAGACATTTATAGTTTGGTCTTTATTTTTGCTATATACAGTACACCTTGTTTTCAGCTCATTTAAACCAAGCTTCATGAGGGAGCCCTGCCTAACAGCTATTGGTTTAAATGGCTTGGAGCCATTTAAATCCTGCTTTCTGCTCCCTATGAAAAGCCATGGGAAGCTCAAAGCAGGGTTTAAATGGCTCCAAGACATTGAAACCAAACAGCTGAGGGAGGGGGAGCTCCCAGCCCCTCAGCTGTATCTTGTGAAGAGCAGAACATGGGGTAAACCCCTGTGCTCTGCACTTCATGAAAGGTCACAAACCACCATGAACTGCCCCCTCAAATTTTGGAGAAGTCGTTGTGGTTCATCAGTTTGTGAACCTCCAAACTGGCCAAAATTCATGACAAACTTTGGTTCATCAGCCAATTTGTGCCCATCCCTATCTATGACTTGGAGATGCCAGTGATTCAAAATGTAACCTACGCCAGTTTTGTAACCATGGAAAATGTCTTGACTTTCCCAAGATTACTCAATTACTCAAAGAGCACTGTTTTTGTTCTCTAGCCTAATGCATGTTTCATGTTTCAGTCCCTAATACCTTTAAAGAATCCTCTTGAGTAGAAAAATCCTCATAGATAACAGCATGAAGTTCTGGGGCATTAAGTAAGAGCTCAGCATCAGCCACAGCTAGCAAAATTTTGTTTATTTCAACCAGGTATTCTGCAGGGAATGGAGATGTTCTGATTATCGATGAATAAGGACCTTGAATCCTCTGGTGAGTTGCCTGAGGAGGAAAAAAAGTCACTCAAGTTAATTTAATTTAGTTAATTTTACTTACTCTATTAATTTCTTTTTTAAAACTAGCATCTTTATAAAGTAGATGCATTGGTGGAGCCTCAGTTAAAGTCTGCTTCAGTTTGGAAGGATGAAACTTCTTTTTTTTAAAAAAAGCCTGGAAGGGTGTGTGTTTTTGTTTGCACAGTTGATAGTACCTGAAATGCGAGGGAAGTAGAGAAACACTGCCAGTTCTTGTCTGTATTCAGGGAAAGAAGAAAGTTGGATGTAAAGAGAAGGAAGGAAACAGATGTGTATTGGGCAATTATGGGGAGGTTTCACTAGTTTTTATGGGAACTGCTATTGCCCTATTTAGACTCCATTCCTGAGAAAGAAAGTCTGGACGATGCTTGTTTTCCTGCATCAGTAAATGCTTTTCACATAATTTTTCTCTCTGCAGAGATGCAGTTCCTTCCTATACATAGATGAGTAATTAATTGGTATGTATTTAGAAGCTGTTCAAAAGGAGCATTCGGCAACAAAGTTAAACAATGTAGGTCTACACTTAAATTGGGAAAGTCAAAACTGGTTCCAATAAAGTAAGCCGAATTCACAGGCTCCACTTTAGATTTGATTTGATACAAAGAGTTACAAGGTATCAGATACAGTAATCCGGGTAGGAGATTTCATCATATACCATTTCAGCCTTCTTACAATGGTCCAATGCACAAAACTGTGAACCAATGAGCAGAACACGCTCTCCAGGCTTTCTTAGACAGACAGACAGACAGACAGGAGAGAGAGAAATAAATAGAGACAGGGAGACGGGGGGGGGGGGGGAAGAGTTCCTTGCTAGTTAAATTCCGTTTTCAAAGTTACTCTGCCCCAAGTGCCATTTTAAAAGGGTTTAAAAAACAAGACAGCTCCTGCACTTCCCTCAGGTTCCTCTGTTGGGTCATAAGCCTAAACAAATATCTGTATCATGGTGGGACAGTTTAGCTATTTAAGCCAAAGAAAAGGAATACACGCTGCTTAGAGGCAACTCAGTCACCGAAGGAACTAAAAGGTTTTGGCGGGAAAATCTGCCTGTGAGTTGGGAAGGGACTGATGTCTGTCATAGTTTCCAACGAAGGTGGAGCCCTCTTCTCTGCCTCTAGCACATGATGAGAACTACTAAAGGGCTGCCATTCTGTTAACTGGACTCAAGCAGAAATGGTTGTAAAAATTGTTGACAGCAACCTGGACAAATCTGATAGCGACGACAAACATACATATTTGACCAAAGTAGTGGTAATTCTCCATACCAACTATACCTCCATGTGATCATGACCTAGCAGAGACCAGCTGCTCTCAAAATGTTCACCAGGAAGCAGACAACAGCCTAACATTCTGCAACCTATAGAGTTGCATACAGCTTACAGCAGTTTTTCATCCACAGTGACAACTCTTTAAAAGAGTTGCTATTTATTACTACTTTGTGACCACTTCCTTCAAGATACATTAAAAAATAGTTCTGGCATCTCACTGTGGGGAAAAAAAATATTATGGTTGGAAGCTGAGGAATCACAGTAACAGAGTAGGAAATCCATGACTGGATGACTTTTAGAAAAATAGCAGCAACTGAAATTGGACTATTTCTTTGCAGTCACACTGGGAATGGGGTATTAAACTATTTCCACTATGCCACTTTTCCGACTTACACTGCCCCCTTCAAGCCACTGTTAGCCTCATGAAGAAAAAAAATTACCAGTAGCGACTGAAAAAACTGGGCACTAAGTTGAACAGACTACAGACATCATTATTCTATCTATGCTATATGAGTGTCATTCTTTACTCTCCTCCTTAATTGGCCCAGTGCTATACAAGAGTCCAAGATATTGATGCCTTTAATTATAAATCTCCATAACCAGCAATTGAAAAGTTGACAAATTGCCTAGTATACAAACTTGCTAAAAAATTACTAACTGTTTCACAGATTTCTCACTGTTACTAAACAAAATATTATTTTTAAAGTCATATGACAGACAGGAAGTACAATACTAAACTGCTTTCAAAGGACTCAGAAGGGTGTCCTATTGCACTACAGGTAACTGAGAAAACAAGACTCACTAGAACCAGAAATTGTAAGGGCATTTTTATATAATGTAAGGAAACTATAAGTCCAGCAAGCAATACTATAAGTCCAGCAGATGGATCAATTGTCTGACTTGGTACAAGTCAGTTTTGTATGATCATTGTGCAAAACCCATCTTTTTCCCATGACTAAAAAGAACTTCAACACCCAAACTATGTAATGGTCTCAAAGGGAGAGCTATACTGTACCTTTTCTCAATTCAACCTGCAAGTAACAACACCTGTAGCAAACGAATAAGCAAGACTGTGATAGATTTTACAACCAGCAGCCTGGTTAAGACTTGCAATGTACTGTGTACTATACCAGCACCGAAGAAGAGAAGTGGTACTGAATGACAAAACACAACTGGGGGAAGCAACCATCAGTCACATGGACCAAAAATACAAACAAAACTTATCCCTTAACTAAATCTCCTTTAAAAGGCTCTGAGACTACACATTCATATTTCATTTATACTCCATATTTCTGTCCAATGGGGAGCCAAAGTGGTTTACAACATTTTCCCCTTTTCCATTTTATCCTCACAATAACCAGTAGGTTGGAGTAGGTTAGGCTGAGAGTGCGTGACTGGACCAAAGTTACCCAGCAAACTTTCATGGTGGAGTGGGGATTCAAACCTGAGTCTCCCAGATTCCAGACCCAACACTACACCATAGTTGTCCTCCTAATTCTAAAAGAGCTGTAGATCTCTTACGCTTTATGACTACAGATGGTGTCTTCATGTATGTTGCCCAATAATTTAACTCACCTAGTAATTTAATGATGATTTAACAAGTCAGGAGAAAGAGATTGGGTTTCTAGATACTCTTCATTGACTATGCCATGGGGCAGATGATCACAGAACCTACCCAACGGAAGGTGATCCTGCACTTGTTCCTAAGTAATGCTCAAGGCCATGGTGAGAGATGTAAACATGATAGCACCAGTTGGAAACAATGACCATAATGCTATTAAGTTTAGCATTTCTGTAAATAGGGAGTTGCCCAAAAAGACCAAGATAACACAACACAAGCCTGCTTGCGGGGAGGGCGGGACATAAATGTAATAATAAATAAATATTTAACTTTAGAAGGGATAACTTCTCTGAAAGGAGGGGGCTTGTGAAGAAGAAACTGAAAGGAAAGGTAAGGAGGGTCAAATCCCTTCAGGAAGCTTGGAAAGTATTTAAAACTACAATAATGGAAGCTCAGATACAATGTATACCACAGGTTACGAAAGGTATGAATAGGTATTTTAAAAAGGCCTGCATGGTTAACAGACAACGTAACACAATCATTAAAAGGTCAAAGGATTCCTTTAAGCAGTGGGAAGGGTAGTCCGAATGTGGTAAATAAAAGGGAGCACAGGCTTTGGAAGATGAAATAAAAGTCGGTGATCAGACAGGCAAAAAGGGACTATGAGGAACATATTGCAAAAAACATAAATATCAACAATTAAAAAATTCTTCAAATATATTAGTAGCAGAAAATCAGCAAGGGAGGCAGTGGGGCCCTTGGGTGACCAAGAAGTAAAAGGATTACAAAAGGATGACAGGGAAGTGGCAGAGAAGCTGAATGCATTTTTGCCTGTCTTAATTGTGAAGATGGGAAGTGCTTGCCAACTCCAGAACTGCTGATTTCAGGAGGGGTGTCAAAAGTCAGATTGAGGTAACAAGAGAGGAGGTACTACGACTGATGGACAAATTAAAAACTAAGAAATCACCAGGCCCAGATGGCATACACATTCTAGAGTTCTAAAAGAACTCAAATGGGAACATGTGGATCTCCTGACAAAAATATGCGCTGTATTACTGAAATCCACCTCCATTCCCAAGGACTGGAAGGTAGCTAATGTAACCCCCATCTTTAAAAAAGGTTCCAAAGGAGATCTGGGAAATTACGGGTCAGGCAGTTGGTAGAATCCATTAGTAAAGATAGAATTAGTAGGCACATTGATGAACAAAAACTATTGAGGAAAAATCAGCATCGATTCTGTAAGGGAAGATCTGATCCCATTAACCATTTAGAGTTCTTTGAGGGGTAAACAAACATGTGAACAAGGGTAACCCAGTAGATGTTGTTTACCTAGACTTTCAGGAAGCTTTTGATAAAGTTCCTCATCAAAGGCTCCTAAGTAAACTCAGCAGTCATGGGATAAAAGGACAAGTTGTCTTGTGAATTAAAAACTGGTTAATTAACAGGAAACAGAGAGTGAGTATAAATGGGCAGATTTCACAGTGGAAGGTAGTAAGCAGTGGGGTGCCACAGGGCTTGGTACTAGGTCTGATGCTTTTTTGTTTGTTTGTTATAAACTCTTCTAAAGAGGAGAGAATTTTATTGCTTTTAAATTCAGAAAACAGGGAGGGTATATAGATGGATCAAGAAAAGTGGTGAGTGATGCTTTGATTAGTATATTAGTCTGTTATTAGTATGCATAAAATCTTTGGCTTCTTCTGTAATTGTCCTGTCTTCTTTAATCTTTACCTGTAAAAAATAAAGACCTTTAGTATGTTAATAATGTCCCTTTGGGGTTAGTATTGTCTATCGCGCTTTCTGAACATATCTTCAAACCTTGGGGAACTTCACTTTTTGCCTCTCAAGTTGTAAGATGGACCTTTCGCTGCTGCTCCACCTTCCGATTCCTTGTCCCCTCCCTCCGAGCTGCTGTCTTCTTCACTGCTAAATACTGCCCATTTAGTGAGTTCTGCCTCATCCTCTGAACTGACGTGCCTCTTCAAAAAGTCTTGAGCCTTGAAAATGGAGTCTATCTTTTCTCTCTTGTCTTCTGGAATCAACCATCTGTAATTAACTTGTTGACTTTGCAAGAATGTGGTCAGTCCCTTATAAGCCTTTCTTTTCATACGAATTTCAAATGGAACATCTTTTAAAATCTTTATGCTCTGCTCTCCGATTTTCAAAGGTTTTGATGAAGTTACTTTCAAGATTTGATCTCTGATGCATTGCTTGGTAAATTTCACAACCACTTCTGCTGGCAGATTATTTTTCCTTGTATAGATGGAATAGGCTCTATAAACCAAATCCATCTCTTCGCTTAATTTTTCCGCTTCACTCCAGTCAGTGGTGCCAGAGCATTCGCCAATGTGCTTCTGAGATCTTCTTTTTCTACCTCCTTTATACCTTGAAATCGGAGAGTCAAGTTTGATTTTACCATTTGTAACATCAGTAGTTTGCTATCTTGTACTTCTTGATGTTTTTCCATTTTATTGACCTTCTTCTTGATTTTTTGTGTTTCTTCCGTTGACACCAGACATTTCTTTGCAATCTCCTCCATCTTCTTGGTTGTATCTGTCAATTGCTTTTGTTGATTACTGAGGACACTTTCCATATTAGACAACGTTTGATTGATTTTCAACATTTGGTCCAGTAGAGGGCAAAGCATCTCACTTTCTTGTTGAGTGACAGCTGGCTCAGTAAGGCGGGGGTTTAGACCGGAAGTCCCTCCCGTCCTCTTTGCCGGCTTGTCCTGCAGCTTCTTTTGCCCCGACATCTTAGCTTTATTGTTTACTTTTAAAAGTTTGTGCCGCGCAGCTTGGGACTCACTCCCTCTTCCTCGCTTTAAGGAATTCCCCAAAAGGTAACTTTACTTTGTAAGATTCTCACTCCCCCCCCTTTCTCGGTTAAAACCGTCTCGTTCTATTGGGGGGGTTGTCACCCTCCTTCCTACCGTTTAGTCCAGTGGGGGGGATGCGCTTAAGTCTTTATCATTTAGTTTGATCGTCACTCACAGTAAGCCGTCTTTCACTTTCTTTTACTTTCGCTTCTTCGCTTTTCATCACTCCAAGAACAGAGGGGCACAACGCGGCGGGGCCTCTGGGGCATGGGGAGAGCCTCAATTTCCAACCGTCAGGTCGACAAAGAGGCACTTCCCCGGTGCGCCCCCTGGTCCGGAGCTTTTACCTAAGGCTCCTTAGGGTCTCCGCTTATGCAGATCCCCCCCTTCCACGCGTGGGTGATTCGCCTCCGGGAGCGTCCCAGGAGAGTGACCGCCATTCGCGCCACCAAAACCGGAAGTTCAGGACTGATGCTTTTTAACTTGTTCATTAATGGTTTGGAGTTGGGAGTAAGCAGTGAAGTGGCTAAGTTTGCGGATGACACTAAGTTGTTCAGAGCAGTGAAAACCAGGGAGGACTGTAAGGAGTTCCAGAGGGATCTGTCGAGGATGGGCAAGTGGGCGTCAACATGGCAAATGAGGTTCAATGTGGGCAAGTACAAAGTAAAAATCCTAACTATAAATATATGTTGATGGGGTCCGAACTGGTGGTAACTGACCATGAGAGAGATCTTGTGGAGTCATGGTAGATAACTCACTAAAGATGCCAATTCAGTGTGCAACTACAATATAAAAGACAAATGCTATGCTGAGAATTATTAGGAGGGGGACTGAAAACAAATAAGCCAGTATCATAATGCCCCTATATAAATTTATGGTGCAGCCTCATTTGGAATACTGTGTGCAGTTCTGGTCACCACACCTGAAAAAAGATATTATAGCACTGGAAAAGGTGAAGAAGGGGACAACTAAAATAATTAAGGGGTGGAACACCTTCTCTATGAAGGAAGCTTAAAGAGCTTAGGGCTCTTTAGCTTGAAGAAATGAAAATTGAGGGGTGACATGATAAGATGTTTACAAAATCATGCTTGAGATAGAGAACGTAAAGGAAGAAGTACTTTTGTCCCTTCCCCACAATACAAGAACTTGTGTGCACTCAATGAAATTAATGAGCAGTAGGCTTAGAACAGATGAAAGGAAGTACTTCTTCACCCAAAGAGTAATTAAAACGTGGAATTCACTGCCACAGCAAGCACTGGTGGCTACAGGCATAGACAGCTTCAAGAGGAGATTGGAGAAACATATGGAACAGAGGTCCGTCAGTGGCTATTAGCCACAAGGTATAGATGGAATACTATATCTGAGGCAGTGATGCTTTGTATTCTTGGTGCTTGGGGGACAACAGTGGGAGGGCTTCTGGAGTTTTGGCCCAACTGGTAGACTTCCTGATGGCAACTGGGTTTTGGGCACTGTGTGACACAGAGTGTTAGACTGGATGGGTCACTGGCCTGATCCAACATGGCTTGTCTTGTGCTCTTATGTTCTTAATTCGTTTTTTGTTCAGCAGAGAGAGAAAAATTACAAAAAAAAATAATTTCCAATTATGGTCTTCTATTATCCATCAGTAAGTTTTTCGTGATTAGTATAAGCCCCTTGTGATTTCTTTCCTAATGAATAAAGCGCCCTCAGTTCAAGGGTTCTTGTACAACTCCCACTCATTTGAATACAATTACTCAAGAGGGGCTCCTAATAATTTTAACACAGAACATCTATGTGTTTAAAGTTTGTCAGCAGCATCATGGATTATACAGTAGGAACTACGACTGTGTTTATGCTGGTGTTTCCATGTAAAGGATGAATATCCTGTGTACATGTATTGCTAAACAGAAGCGCACATGCATTTATGAACTGTGATTGGACCAGTTCTGAGACCAACTAAAATTGTACCTCGATTCAAGGCATGCCCTCCTTTTCTTCCAAAACACTAAGCTGAAAGATGCATTTTTATGGTATTAAAGCACTATAAAAATAACAAATGACATCATGGAGTGCAAACTGCATACAGAGGCAAAATGCTGAGCCAGAAAGTGTCTTGTCTGGTTCTGGCAAATTATCTCTAATAGATCCTCCAGCTGATAAAACAGTGGTCAAACAGTGTCTGGATCACTGGGTGATAACAAAAGGAGAAATACTTTTCACAATTAAAAATATCTACCTGTAGTTCCTGCTCATCATCTGCTCCCTGTAGCCCTGACAATCGGCCATCTGTCTCATTAAGCCAACTCAACAGACTGTCTTGGTCAGTCTTATACTGTGAAGATGGAGAGATATTCACCACCTTTCCCCTTTGCAAGGACCATAGTTCCTATAACCAAACAAAGGAAAGTGGGACAAATAAAAGTGGTTAAGGGGAGAAGACAAAAAGATATAATATATGGAAATCGTGGTCCAGATATCTCACTTCACTGCCTATGGCTTTGTCCTTAACACTTAAACCAATTAGAAAGTTTAAAAGATGCTTCTGCAAGATGAGAAGCTAATACTGAAACTGCAAAAAAATCCAGGGAATTTTGGAGTAAAAGCAATTCAAAGCCCTGTACTCTATTGATTATACAGAACAGTCTCTTAATACTCCGGCAAACGATTTAATCCAGTGGCCCAAGTACCCCTTCAGACTTCACAGAGCATGCACTTCTCCTTTACCCATTGGAAATGTGACAGGAGATATGTACAAGATATCACCAATTACAGAGGAGGACTAGGACAGAGACAAAGTGCAGATATTTATTATTATTTATTTACAAATGTATATCCCTGAAACGTAATCCTGACAAAACAGAGGTATTACTAGTGTGGGAGGTGGGAAGGTTTAACCACAGAATTTTGATATGTCCTGTTCTGGATTTTGTTGCACTCCCTCTAAACGAGCAGGTTCACAGTTTGGGGGTGCTGCTGGATCTGGGGCTCCTGTGGCTGTTCCTGGACAGGAAAGATCTTCCCACTGTGATGGATGTCCTGGTAACATCTAGATTAGATTACTGCAGTGCACTCTACATTGGACCGCTCTTGAAGACTGTCTGGAAGCTAAGAATATTGCGGCTAGCATGTTGGCTGTGGGCTGTAGGATCGTATTAATCTAATCTTTCTTGTTGTATACTGGCTCACAATCCAAGGTGCTGGTACTAACTTTCAAAGCCCTATATGGCTTGAGGCCAGCATACATTAAGGACTGAAGAGCATCCCCAAACTATGGACCTGTTCCTTAAGGCCCAGGTCATACCCTTCACACACCAGTAGCACTTCCATCCAGACAGGATTAAGCTTCAGTTTGTTACCGACATCTTCTTCAAAAATTGCACCCAGACACCAGTTCAGGGTTTCTACAACCTCCCTGGGACTGGCTGCAAGTGAGATAGAGCTTAGTATCATCTGCATATTGGAGACCACCCAGCCCATATCTCCAGAAGACCTCACCCAGCAGTTTCATGTAGATGTTGATGAGCACAATGGAAAAGTTGAAGTCTTGTGGGCTGAAAAGAACAACAACCAGGCCTGAAACTAGATTGGAAAGGATCCAAACAATCCACTTCTTCTAGGAATGCTTAAAAGTAGTCCAGCCACTTACCTGTTCAATCACTTCGCTCAAAAATGGAACACTCGAGACGGGTCAATAGTTATTGAAATCTCTGTCTCCAGGGTAGGTTTGTTTAGTAGTAGGTCCTGTTTCAAGGCTGCAGCAACCACCCCCTCACTCAAGGAGGTATTAATGACCTCTTGAACTCCCAAGAGGCAACCAGCCAACCAACCCCTCCACACGCACACATTTAAGAAGCCAAGAAAGGCACTTAAATCTGACGGAGAGGGGGCTGGCTAACTGGCACCCTCACATTTCTCTCTGGCTGCTATGAAGGTTTTTCTCTCCTCCAGCATTTGCTTCCTTTGCCACTGCAGTGTGCACAAGTTTAGTGTTTTTCAAGGAGCCCTTGTGCACAAAGATGAGCTTGCAAGCACCACAGAGGAGAAATATATTTGCAGCAACCAAAGAGAAGCACCTGAGAAGCGATGACTTAAGAACCAAGCTAAAAGGTTTCAGGGTCTTGATAGAAAGGCTTTCATTTACATATCAGAAAGGAACTGCTTAAGATCATAATGAGGATATTTGGAGGGCACCTGGAATTAAAGTGAACCTTTACTGTCAATATGACAATAAAATCGGGGCATGGATACGTATAACAGACTGACAGACTTTTCTAATGCACACAGCCATGTGTGCCTGGACACCAGTGTGGAGGGAGGCAGAAGGAAGTGTCTGAGAGTTCCTCCACATGACGCCAATAGCCTTAACTGACCTTGTTGCTGCTGTGCCTTGTCTGCAGAAACAGGAGCTGCAAACGGATTTTTTCTCTCCTGCTGTCTTCTGAAAGTTGCTGTAGTAACTGCTCACCTCTTTGTAGAACCTCTTCAACTTGAGCCCTCTCTTCATCCAACTAAATTTGTTCAAACATAAGATTACAAAACAATTAGTGCTACTTAACAGCCATTTCTTTTAAATGGAGATCGTAACTTGATTTGGTCATGTTAAGAACGAGCCAGAAACCTCTCTGGGTGAGACACTTTTTCCACTTCCCTCTTTCACTCATGTGCATGGGACATTTTATATCAAATATAAAGAGACCCATCAGCAGTGAATCACAACAGTGTGAGTTATCATTCACAACTGATGAGCACATGTAATTTAAGGAGAATTGTACACCCAAGTATTATTCACATTCAACGGTCTGCTTATGCCTTTTTTACTCTGGCAAGTTTTTTTAAAAAGCCTTTCAGGAAATGGACATAAGCCATTTACGCCCTAAGCAATTTTTCAACTGAAAAACAAACACTACAGTTCCCTTGGTAAAACTGAGGATGGTCCTTTTACTCAAGACAAGCCTTTATTGGCATATACATGTAGATACAATAATCTAAATACAAAATCCGTGCAGAGTAAAATTAGAGTTACAGATTAAATAAACAGAGAGACAGCATAATAAAACCTAATTCAAAGTGTCACTTATCAAGACGTGTGACCATGGCACTACAAAGAAACTTTGCTACTATTTCAGTTATTTCTGTATCTGGGTTATCAAGCAAAAAAAGGACCTTAAAATCATCAGAGGTCTCTAAAAGTTGGGCTAATATGGGATATAGAAGTTCCCGATGGGACGCTAGATTGAGAGGGCGCTGGAGAAGAACATGGGTGACAGTTTCAACACAGTCCTTCATACAAGGACAGCACCTGCTAGGATAGGGAATCCCTTGGAATCTGCCAGATAAGATAGCTGAAGGAAGAACATAAAATCTAGCCAAGGATATGGCTCTACGCAAACTTGGAGCTATGAGTTGATAGAGGTATACAGCTGGGAGAAGGATGGTCCTTTTATAAAATTTAAGTTTTGCTTGAAATTAATTTGGGTAACTAGTGGCAAAGGAGTGGAACAGCTCTCAGCAATTACACAGTACAGAGACTGTGGTCCTTTAAGGATGAATGTAGAGTTGCCAATATGAAGGAAAGAATGTCCATATTTTCTTTGTTCATAACCCACTTCACTACAATGCCTTCCATTACTGTGAAGCCACAAGCTACATGGAAGGAATCACAGAATAGCCAACTTCCTGCTCACTGTACAAAATTCAAAGCTAGAAAAACTGACAAGCAGGATATAGGGATATAGCAAGTAATATGGTTTGGAGCAACCACATTATATGAGGGACTATATTTTTAATATATATCCAAATTTTATCACTGGATCAGAAAAAAAATTATGCATTTACAATTTTTCTTTTACAAATGGTTCCAAATTTGATTCACGAGAAATATGTAAGAGCCAAAGCCTTACCATTTTTATTTAGAGGGAGCAAGGGGTGAAGGGCATATTCTAAAAAAATATGTTATCCTATCCTCACAAACCTTTTCATCTTCATCATTTGATTCCATGTGCTTCTCTACAACATTCAGCATGTCCTGTAGCTCAGACTCAAAATTATCCAGAACTGTGGAATCCACTACAGTTCCATGGGGCTCTTGCTTGGTATGTGCTTTATGACCCTCCCGACTGAAAAGCATCTGCAATGTATGAAAATACAAACGGCACATAACAATTAGCCAACAACTTCAACTCACAGATATACTGCATATCACTTCCCTCTCCCCAGGCCATGTCTCAGTTCATTAACTTGCCCAAATACTCCAAATGCCTCCCTGATTTACCACTTTGGGTTGTCTTTCACTCACCACTGTCACTCCTTTCCTTCACAGTCAACCCATCTTTTCTTGTTTCTGCTCTAATGCAAGCATGTCACAGTTTCGCAAATATCCATCCCTTACCTAACCACCTTCTCAAACTACCATCTAATTTCCCTCCTAATCTTTCTCCCTCCCCAAACACACTCTTGTCTCAACTTTCTCTCATTCATCTCTTGACCTACATTATGGGTCCTGCCCACTACTGAAACTTTTCACATTAAAACTGCCAGCAATTTTTTTTCACTGCAAAAACCAAAAGTCTTTTCTCCTTGACTTTCTGATCCTGAATGACCTCTCTGCTGTCTTTGATACAACTGAACACCCTCTCCTGCTTGATTCATTTCACTAGGATTCAACGACAATTTCTGCCCATCTAATCACTCAATCAACATTTCCACGGAGCCAGTCTTTGGCCTATTGTTCCTCTACATATTGAGACTAATCAGCAAACCCCTTTTAATACAGAATATTTTCTAATGACACCAACTAGTTCTCTGGACTTTAACTTTCTCCCACTTTCTAATCCACATTTCCAGTATTCTTCCTGATGTTTTTCCTTGAATTTTTCACTACCACCTCACACTCAATATATCCAAAAATGATCTTCTAGTCTCCCCAGTTCCAAGTTCTCCTTTCATTGTATATTCTGCATATCTATCAACATCACCATCATTAATACTGCAGAACAGGTATGAAGCATCTTTAACCCCTTTCTCCCTATTCTGCTCATCATATTCAGACTTGTCACCAAATAATCCCTTTATTATCTCCCTTCTGTTTCTACACATCCAGACACACTTCACCTCAGCCCTCTGTGCAAAAACTCTGGTTTATGTTCTAGTAATCACTCACCATGACTGCTACAACCTTCTCCTTTCTGGGTCATGCTAGGATCCCCTCATCTTTAGCCAGAACTCTGCCTCTAAAATGTTTCATGTCTCATCACTCTGGTCATATGACACAGCCTTTAAATCCCTATTCTGGCTTCCCGTTAACTTCAGATCAAACACAAATTCTTTGTCCTTAGTTTTAAAGCACTCTATAGCTTTGCACATCCTTATTCCTCTGTTTATGTATCTTGATATATCCTACCCCATAATCTGCCCTGCCAGCTCCACAAACTTCAGAATGCTTCCTGATCCTTCAAATAACTCTTCCCTTTATCCCTTTGTGTGCCTTATGCTTCCAAGCTCTCTCTCACAATACTTACATGAAGTCACATCTCTCTCTTCCTTTATTTCAGATTCACACTTAAAACCGACTTTTACCAGGAAGCCTTTGGCACAACCCCTTCATCCCCTGAATGACCTCTTTAAAGTACTGTGTGTATTGCTGGTGCTATATTAATTAACAAACTACATCAGTGAAGTTGCAAATGCAAAGGCATGTTTGCAGAACATGTTTCTCTTGTAGGCCTCTGTAGTAAGTGAAATATGGCCAGGGATTATTCTAATGTATTAGCTCAGTTGTAAGATGAAAGAATTAGAGCCACACCTAAGCTTGGAACAGAGATAATCACCTAGGAGCTCTGAGAGGCTGTCCTGAGCATGCTGCATTCCCAGTGACCCATGCTAGAAAGATGTCATATGCATAACCTTATTATACAGAATGGCTAAGGACCATGTATAGCGCAGACTTATTTTAAAAAAAAAAAAAAATGATTAATTGAAGTGACCAGAAGCCATCACTGATGTGCTCTAGGAGGAGGCTGAAAACAAAAAGTTATTATGTGCCCTGTAATAAGGATGATAACTTACAGATAAGGCTCCATATACAATGCTGACAAAGTTGACAGAGCTGGTGTGTTTCTGACTATATATAAGAACAGGCTGCTTTCCTATAACTGATGTTCTCCAAGTGATTATCTGTGCAGTCACACCAACAGGAATCAAACATGCACAGATTCAAGTAAGTAAAAGTTTTAGAGCTGAGCTTAAAATGATTTTTTGGTGCTGGCTCCATTCACTGTAAGCACCAGGTAGCATGGCTCCAGAGACCATGGAGCAACACTTCCCGCTCAGTTCTTCCGTAGATGCAGCAGGAGAAGGTGGGTGGTAATGTGACTGCACAGAACATCAGTTATAGGTACACAACCTGTGATCTTTGTGCATCACATTGACAGGACAAAACTAGCAAATGGAACTTCTCATCAACTGTGACAAAACTAAAAGAAGACACATAACAGTAACCTTTGGAACTGGAGGCTAAAGCCTCATCAAACCTTTGAAGAATTATTTAATGATGACTTCAGACAGAAACATCTGCAACAGCAGGATAATGAACAGAAGTTTCTGCCAAGTGCTGGGATGAAATAGTGTGAGGACCCCACTTCCACCTCCAGCTGAGACCCTCTTGGTTACTGGGGTCCCCATCCTATTTTGGACTCAGTTGTTTTAATAGGCACACACACCCTTTTACAACTAAGTTCCAAGAGGATCTGAAATTTGGAGAGTCTCATAAAGACATCAGGGTACAGCCATGACACTGAAAAATCCTAGGAAAGAAGAAGAGTGTGCTGGCATTACAAACTGATTAAGTGCAATGCCACGTAGTTCAGGGTTCTCAATAACAATAAGACTTCTCAATAAGATTTCACTTCATTCTCAATAACAAAAGACTTTTCAACACTGGAACATCCTGGCTTACCCCAGAGGTGTCTGCCCAGCCCAAGGAAGTTGCTATTACATTAACCAATGTGTGGTTCGTCTTTTTCCTTTTTTTTCCTTTCTTCTCAATCAAGAAGGGCACTCGACTCATTAATTTATTATCCATCGTTCAGGAGCTATCTTGACCCACTAAACTTTTGTATCAATGCAGATCTGGCTCACTTCAACCTAATTAAAGCATGTTAATCAGGTTGCCTCACTCAGGCTCTTTGTACCCATGTAGATTTAGCTCACAATAATCTAATCAAGATATTTTCCCCACTTTTTCCAGCCAAAGTTTGACAGCGGTTACCTTCAAACAGCCCAGTCAAATTTAAGGTCCATATGTTCAACCAATAATGTTCTTGGGAGGGGGGGGGGTCCCATGTCTAGCTATGGGGCTCTTCTCCATAAAAAGACCATCCCAAGTTAGTGTAAAGTCTGCCAGGTTCTCCCACTATCTGAACATAGCAACTGTTATGCAGGCTCCTTTCCCCCCCTGCTCCTTGAACCTCAACTATGTTTGCCCCGGACCTCTCCAGAACTCAAGCCCAGGATTTCAGGTTGAATGGCCCTTCCTTAAAACTCGCCAATTTCCTCCCGCCTACCTTTTATAAGTGTGCCCTCTTATTGGTGTATGGTTACTTATGGAATTAGTTCTCAGATGCCTAGCGTATGTTCTATACATTTTTATTCTTTTTATTTTATTTTGTACACAACAAAGCTATTTGTGTTTACAATTACTCTCACTTTCTTCATAATTTTATTTTTGAGTATCCCCACTGAGATCCAGCCTGGTATAAACAGACTTACAAGGTCCTGCATTATTCCTTTCTGGAACCCTTTTAAAGCTAATTTCCCCTTCTATGTGTCCAGTTTGGGTAACAACAGCAAGTCCTTCTCACAGGGAGAAGAGATAGGATGGAGCACAAGTTAGTGAGTGCCTTCCAGACAGCTGTTCCCCAACAGCCACCCTTTGTCCCCGACCCTGAAGTAACGAGGAGAGCCACTGAAAGGCAAACCCTTGAATCCCGGTGTCAGCAAGGTGGTGGTTCAGTAGTTGATGTCGCTGACAGGTCTAACAACAACAACACTGCCGTACCACCTCGATCCAGATGCCTCCGGAGATCATCTGTGAGGGCAACCAGGACCATCCCCGTCCCATGGTCTGGTCAGAAACCAGATTGGAAAGGATCTAATGCGGAGGTGTCATCTAAAAAACCCTGCAGCTGAATTGCCACCACCTTCTCAAATTGGATACCGGCCGGTAATTAGCTAATTTGGTCAGATCCAAAGGTGTTTTTTTTTAGGAGAGGGTGGACCACCGCTTGCTTTAGTGCACTAGGGAACAGTCCCTCGACTGTTTTAAACCCTGTTTTAATGTTAAAATGCTTTTATGTTTTGATGTTCAACACACTGGGGATTTTATTCAGATACAAAAGAAGTACAGAGATGCTTTAAATCACTGGTTCCCAAAGTGGGCAATGCTTTAGTGCACTAGGGAACAGTCCCTCAACTGTTTTAAACCCTGTTTTAATGTTAAAATACTTTTATGTTTTGATGTTCACCACACTGGGGATTTTATTCAGATACAAAAGAAGTACAGAGATGCTTTAAATCACTGGTTCCCAAAGTGGGCAATACTGCCCCCTGGGGGGCGCTGGAACAATCCAGGTGGGCGGTAGGAGCCTTGGGTGCAATTGGAGGGCGTTGAATAAAAATAAGGGGGAGGTGGAAGCATAAAGAAAGAAGATTCCAGAACCTATCTAAAGCAGAGGGGAAGGGGAAGAGGGGTCCCCACAGCCAATCACAGCCATGCATTTGCAAATTGTTTTTAAATTAACTGTAGTTGCTTGTTGGGGTTGGGGTGGGGGGTTGGCTTAATCTTTTAAAGTTAAACAATTTTGGTGACAGTTCTAAAAGTTTGTTTTGCATTTAAAAGTATTTCTGTTGGATTGTTTCTTTTAATTAACTGTAGTAGTTGCTTGTTGGTGTGGTGATGGTTTTTGCTCAATGTTTTTAATTTTGTGATTCAACTTTTGTTAATGGTTGCTGTTTCAATATTGTAATTAAATACTGTATTGTACAGCCTGTAGTGCTGTTTCCTTTGTGTGTTTTGGTTTGCGGGGGGGGGCAGCTGCTGTTTGTGGGTTCAGTGTTGTACATTTGTTGTCCCTGATAGTGCTCTGGTGTTGTTCTGTTGTGGTTTTCCATTGTGATTTGTGACGGTCTTGTTTTTAAAAGTTCTGCTTTATTCCTTTTGGTTGCTTGGAAGGGTACTGGCAGTGGGTGTGGGAGTGTGTGGGCCTTGCTTCTGTGCTGTGGTTTGTCAGACAAACTGTAATGTTTTTGCTTGTTTGTTGCTGGTTTTTGCTGGGGAGGCCTTGCTGCTGGGGGGCTGTTTGATTGTGTTCCGTGGTTAATCTTTTTGGGGTTTTGGCTTTGGGGGGAGGGACTGGTCAGTTCTCAGAGTGTGTTTCCCAGTTTTAGGCCAGGGCTTTTGTGTCTCTGTCTTGTTGTGCTTTTCTGATCTCTGAGAGTGTTGTGCAGATAGGGCGAGAGCAGCTTTATTTCCTTTGGTTTTAAAACTCTGGCCAATAGTTCTGGCTGCAAAAGCAGATGCCTACACTTTATCCTGGATTATGGGCTATAGTACAAAAGTTTCTAATTGCATTTCCTTCAACATATTTAGTGGAACGTGGGTTCAGTGCGGTCACAAATCTGTTCACTAAAAAAAGAAACCCACTGCAAATAGCTAATCACGGTGATTTAAGATTGCTGCTGACAAAAATAGAGCCAAACATTAATAAATTGATAGCAGCGCACCAGGTTCATCCTTCTCATTAGGATTTTTTTAATGTTATTTGTGATTTTTATTTTAATATTATCCTTTGTTATCTTAATTTTCTGTGTGTATGCAAATGTTACTATGATTGATTTTATAAAATACTTTTATGATTTCGAGCTTCAAAGTGCCTTATTTACAGCAACGTCTTTCTTTACTATGTGCAAATTTGTCACTGCATCTTTTTGTCCACTTCTTGAAGGTAGATTTCCAGGGGGACGCTGAGTAATTTTTTTTCTGAAAAGGGGATGGTAGGCCAAATAAGTTTGGGAACCACTGCTTTAAATAAACAACAAATAAATCTTGGATCTGCCCTGTGAGACTGAATCTACATTCTGGAAGAGAGCAGAGCAACCAAAGGTGTGGTTGCAGGAATAGAAGGATGGAACCTCCAACACAATGGACATGACGTTGCTTTATCAACTGGGTACAGAAGCTGACTAGCCTTGGGTCACATATGATAGAGCTGGAAGGGATTCTAGTATGAAGTTGAAGCAGAGGAGAGGAACTGCTTTGTGTGATCTTTGTCCTTTTTCTTCTTAGAATACACCACAATACATGCTGGGGGGGGGGGGGGGAGCCCTGAGTCCAAAATCAGTTTTAATAACTTTCTTTCAAGTCAGTATCAAAGTTACAGTAAGTGCCAAGTGATCTATTGGTTCTGCCAGACTTCCAACCAAGAGAAGGTGAGGTTTGCTTGGTAAACTTTAAGCAATGCAGGTACAAGGCAATTCAGTGTTGTTCCCCTGAGCACAAAAGACACTTGGTGTAACCAGCAGTAGTTGGCAACTTGACCCCACAAACAACCCAACATTTCAAAGAAGTCTTCTGTGCCATAAAGACTTATGGACAAAAATGGTGGGAATTAAGCTGAGAGAAGAGTGAGTTTGCCAAATGTAGAGAATAAAAAATAACTCAAAACAGCATCCAAAATCTTAACTCACTATGTATCCTATGTTTTGAGAGAAGGTGTAGCTCAGAGTTGAAGCTCCTCACAATGTCTCTGTTTTGGCAGTTGAAAAGGTGAGTGGAAAGCATGGTTCCACCCACTCTGAGCATGTGTTGCTCCCAGTAGGTGGAGCCAGCAGTTTCCTTCCCCCAAAACAAATAATTTTAAGCTTATCTTTAGAAGCTGTGCATGCTCAACTCCCATCACCACATGAGGAAAAGTAATGCATAATTTTTCCTGATCATTATTGGACCATCTCCAATAAAAAAAAAATGAAATATGTAATTAGCCCACTTTACTACAATGTATATATCTTATGAAGAAAATGTGCCTGGCTATAATCTAGATAGAACTGACTAGCATTGGATTAACTGAGAAGAGGCAAGAAATCCACTTAAAAAGAAAAGATGCTTGTACATTTTAAAAAGCAAAAAACATCAGTTTTCTGGAACTATTAAGTAATTTTCTTATTCTAATGTTACTCTTTCCTCACCTTAGCACTTCTGATATGCTGTGATACCTTTTCAAAGTTTCTGTTCAGTTCAGCCAACTTAGGTTCTACAAGTTCACAGCATGACATGCCACGTCCATTCATCAAGATAATAGCTTGGTCACGCACATTATCCACTCTGAGGCTAACTTCATCCAATTCTGATGTTAAACGCTAGAAGACAGGAAAGAAAACAGCATAAGCTTAGTACACAGCAGGGTCAAATAGGGAAGGAGTGTGGAATGGGAGAAATCAACCAAGAAATCTGGCTGGGTTTGAATACAGAATGTGCTATTACTGTGCAAAGCATATCAGTAAAACATTATGTTTGCCACCTTCACTGTCTCATCTTTCTTGCTGGCTGGCTTTTTCTCAATTTCATCCAACAGGGCTTCAGCTTGGTAGAGCCAAGTGCTTATATGGGCAACATTTTCATCAAAAATCTCTAGTTGACTTTGGTGATTCTGGAAAGTGAGAGCAAAAAAATAAATCAAAGGAAAGTAGCCAGTGAAAGACCAGGGACAATGCAAATGCTGTAGCTATTTTGACCGAAAACACTTTGCAATAGACAGTAAAAAAAAACCCTAAACAAATGGAAGTTTTGTATTCACTTATCATGAAGCTTCCTTTCTCAGTGGTCCGGGAGTGGGGCAGTCCTTACTCTTGGGAATAGCCTCCTCCTCCTCTGGAACAGGGTTGGTTTCCTCAGATCAGTCCAAAAAGGGGAGGGGCCTGTCCTCTGGGAACATCCCAGTCATCTCCAGGCCATGCATCCCCCAACATCACACTAAGGAAAAGAAAAACACTTCTCCCCACCATAGTGAAACTCGATTTTCAGGGCAACCAGCATTGTAACTTCATGCCCCTCCAGTGGGTGTAGGCCAATGTTGAAACCCTCTGTTGCTCTCTCACCCGATTAACTCACGAATTTTTGTTTTAGCACCTCAGAGAAACTGCATAAATGTTCATCCAGTTTCTACATCCCCCCAAAATAACCTCCAGAAGCTGCCCCCCAAAACTGGGTGGGTAGGACTGCCCCACTCCCAGACCACCAAGAAAGGAAGCTTCACGGTAAGTGAATACAAATCTTCTATTCTCCAGTGGTCCTGGGAGTGGGGAAGTCCTTACTTTTGGGACATAAAATAGCAATGTGCTCCAGGGTGGGAAATCCAGCTTCTGGTTTATAGGGTGTGCTACAGCACACCCCAATGAAAAGCTGCCACAGCCAAGGTCAGCTTATCTACTCTATAGTGTCTAATAAATGAGTGCACAGACTTCCACGGGGCCACTGTACCCTCCAAGGATGGATCTGTAAGCTGCTGACACAGCAGCTCCCTGCAGCGAATATGCTGGAAGACCTTTGGGTGGATCCAGCCCCTGAGCCTAAACTTTTGTTAATGGTTGCTGTTTAAATATTGTAATTAAATACTGTATTGTACAGCCTGTACTGCTGTTTCCTTTGTGTGTTTTGGTATGCTGGAAGACCTTTGGGTGGATCCAGCCCCTGAGCCTTGCATGCAACAATGATGCCACCCCTAAAACCACCTACTTAAGGTAAAAAGTGATACCAGTTAACCTAAAGCAGATATCCGAAAAGAAACAAATAAGGTATCCAAATCATGCCAATGTATGCCCTGTCATGGAAAAACTAAATACCCTATGAACATCTAGGCAATGCCATTTCCTTTCCTTGTCATGTCTATAATTGAGACAAAGGAAGGTAAGACAATGATCTCTGACTTGTGAAAGAACTGGATTAACCTTGGGAACATAGTGGCACCCTATCATTGTGGAAAACATGGAGTTCCCTGTCAACTGGCAGGGTCCTCAGTTCCGACATCCACCTAGTTGACATGATGCCCACTAAAAACAAGGTCTTGAATGTTAATTCCTTGAGACTCTGTGGGTTCAAAGGTTCTCTACAGAATGCTCCCAGGACTCTATGTGGGTTCCAAGTTAGAAACCTCTGCACTTGTGGCAGTTTTAACCACGTAGTCACCCCTTAGGAATCTTGAAATTTGTGGATGGCAATTTAAAGGACTTCCCTTCCTTGCCCCCATTACTGCCGATACAGCTGCCACCTGCCACTTTAATGTACTCATGCTTAGCTCTCTATCCAAACCATCTTGGAGAAGCTAAAATGCCTCTAACTGACACATTTAATGGTTCCCAATCACATTCTGAACACCAAGAGTGAAGAACCTACCAGATTGTGTTATATACCCTATTCATTGAACCCTTCCTAGACAACTAACATTGTGTCTGACACCCTGTCAGGGTAACCCAACCCTTCTAGCTGTTTCCGCTCGACCTTCAGGCTGTTAGGTTTAGGAGGGCTGGGAGAGATGGTTATGCTGGTCCTAGTGACAATAAGTCTTTCCCAGTGGTAGACACCATGGTTCCACAGTCGACAATCTCTTCAGATCTTGGAACCAAGCTCTTTATGGTAAAAAGGGTGCTATCAGCACTAGTTCCGCCTTCTGTTCCAACAGCTTCTGAATCACCTTGTG